AGTAGAACAGATGACATGGAAGGTAGAACCAGTGAGCTGGAAGACAAATCTCTGAATACCACTAAGATAGAAGAACAAACACAAAAAAGGATAAAAAATTCTGACGATGGTCTAAGATTCATGTTGGACAACATGAAGAGGAATAACTTAAGAATTATCGGCATTCCAGAACAAGAAGAATCCCACAAGTCCACAGAGGAAATAGTTGAAGAACTGCTGGAAGAAAATTTCTCTAACATCCTGAAAGTGAAAAGATAAACATCCCAGAAACTCAACGAACCCCAGGAAGGATAGACCTCAAAAGAAAATCACCAAGATATATCATAGTCAAGCTCTCCAAAATCAAAGATAAGGAGACACTTCTGAAAGCCGCCAGGGAAAACAGAAGTGTTACATACAAAGGCAAGCAAGTCAGATTAAGTTCAGATCTCTTAGCAGAAACCATGCAAGCAAGAAGGCAATGGGGAAACATTTATAAAATCCTAAAAGACAAAAATTGCCAACCAAGAATCCTTTATCCAGCAAAGTTATCAATCAAATATGATGGTTTAATCAAAACATTCCAAGATAAACAGAAGCTAAAGGATTTTGTCAAAGCTAACCCTGCGCTACAAAACATCCTAAAGGGAGTTCTGTGGACTGAGAACCAATAAGAACAGACAACAACCAGAGACTGACATACGTGGCAGCATCTCCCTGAATTAAGTCAACAGAAGGAAAAGTTAAGAACAGAACAAAACTATAAGAACAAACTCAGATAATCTGGGAGATCAGTCTATGATCAAAACATGTTCAATGTAAAAGACGGTAAACATGTAGGAACAGAGATCCAGATAGTGAGAAGGTCAGGTCGATTACAGGATAAAATAGACTGCAGTATATGGAGCGAAAAGTTAATGGACTATAAGGCAACCTCAAAGAAACTTAACACATCACAACATACCAAGAGAATGAAAATCCAAGAAGAACATGGAAACATTAAAACTATGAGGAAACTCACAAGAAAGAACACAAAAATCATTTACTCAACAAAGGAAGACACACAGAACAAAGAAGCAGCAACACCACACAAAAAACAAACATAATGGCAGCAATTAATCAAAACCTATCAATAGTTACACTGAATGTAAATGGATTAAATGCACATGTTAAGAGACGGAAGGTGGCAGAATGGACAAGAAAACAAGATCCTTCAATATGCTGTCTGCAAGAGACACATCTCACA